CATATGAGTCTCAGATATATAGAAATACATAAAAACATGTCTATGAAGTGTTTATTCTAGCCATGCTCCTAATAATCATACCCCTCTATTTCAGCCCTGTTAGAGAAGTGCTGATTCTGGGTCTGTAACTTTACGAAAAAGGGGGCGGAGCTTATGCAGGAGAATTCTACCAGAAACTCAGCTAAATGCTGCCGTGATTAAACTCCATATCATGTTCCAAACCACATCAAGGATTATCTCTTAACACTAGAACCGCCAGAGGTCGCTGTATACCTAAAACCGCCAACGGGTCAAATGTACCCGCTATTGATTTTCAAGGTACAATGTTCTTTTATTGATCATACAGAACAGTGAGTGTTGATCGCACAGGGATGAAACTTAGACCAATAGAATCTGTGGACTCTCAGCTTTTCATATGACATAGTTTGTGCAGATAACATGAAGTATAAAATATCGCTAAGAGTGCTGATTTAAACGCTTGGTGTTAGACTTGTGTTTTGTTTAGGTACAAATCTCTCTCTCTATCCATCTATAACTATCTATCGATCCATCTGTAATGTTCTGTCCTATGGACATATAATTGTCTACATAAACAGATGACGCGGACTACTTCTCTCATTCAGAGTGTCCATCTTTATTCAACTGGCACGTAACCTGCACACATGCATTACGTCCTCAACGTGAGCTCAGTCATCCAAGATCTTGTATTCTCCAAGATGTTACACTATCTATATAACTATCTATATGTCTATCCATCTATCAATATATCTATCTATCTCTATCTCTCTCTCTCAATCTATCTCTCTATCTATAAGGAACCGCAGTAGACAAAAGGCGTTGCTATAGCAACACGTCATGTTTACGCTGCATTTTTTATGAGGTAAATATTACCCGCTGGCGGATATAGGTATAAATGGCAATTTTTTTGGCGATTTTTTCAATCTGACTTCATATTAACAATTGTTAACAACAGAGGGCGCTACATAACACACTTTCAGGAAAAGTCACGGACTGGGAGACTTTAATATGTTATTGAAAACAAGTTACATACAATAAAAAAACAGCTGCGGGTAAAATGTACCCGTTGGCGGTTCTAGTGTTAAGGAGCTCAAACTCTCTCTCAGGTTTACCACAAGGTGACTTCCTTCTCTCCAGTACAGGTTAGCTCTGAGTGCTAGCGATGCTAATGTAAACACAGACCATATTACGTCCAAAACACGTCTCATTGTTTCTGACAGCAACGTTTCTGATTGGCCCGTGGGTGTAAAGCCCGCCCACATTTAAGACATTACGTCATATCGGACGCAAATCTGGATCAGCTCCGTTGTTCCCCCGTTTTTAGAGATTTGGGTACGGAGGAAAAGAGAGAGGGTTTTATTTCCTGACACTTTGAGAGTCTCCTGACACACCGGGGCGGGGACACATATTTATGTATAAAAGACAATAAAAAGTGCATTTTGCATGATAGGAGACATGACAGCGTGTAGCACCAAGCCCCATCTTGTTTTAAAGAGGCTCCTCACCTCCACCAGGTGGGGGGCCACGACGCTCCAGGCCCTCATCATGTGCAGCAGGGGCCGGTTCCTGTTCCTGACGATCCTCAGCATGGCCTCGCCCAATCGGAAGAGATGAAGAGCGCTGCGACGCTCCAGAGTGGATTTGGCCTCTCCTGAACACACAGGAGCATTTATCTCCTCGTATTTAGCTCCCCAAATGTTTGCCAATGAATCCCAACGAGGGACTTTGAATGAATCCCAACGAGGGACTTTGAATGAATCCCAACGAGGGACTTTGAATGAATCCCAACGAGGGACTTTGAGTCAAATCTGTGAAAACAAAATGATCTCCAAAGAATAGAAGATGGAAAACTTTGAACAAGTTTATTCTTAAGCAAAGTATATTTTATTATAAATTAATTCAATGTAAGGTAACTTATAGAGCATGTGGTGTGTGTGTGTGTGTGTGTGTGTGTGTGTGTGTGTGTGTGTGTGTGTGTGTGTGTGTGTGTGTGTGTGTGTGTGTGTGTACCTGGCATTGCCAGTGAGTAGTCTCCGGTCTCGGTCACGGAGTGGAACAGCTGACACTGAGAAGCCTTCCTGAGCTGCTGCAGGAAACCAACCAGAGCCACCAGGTTCAGCTTAGTGGCTGCTTCCTCAAACAGCCTGCAACACACACACACACACACACACACACACACACACACACACACACACACACACCGAGACACACACACACACACACACACCGAGACACACACACACACACACACTGTAAAATTGTGACATTAACAGTTATCGAATGTGTTTTCATTTGCAAAATACTTTCAGATAAAGGAACATTCCTGCGTAATTTAAAGCAAATTCACACTTTCATTTCTATGCAATCATCAGATGTCCGCCCTGTGTGCCATCATTATTGAATATAAGCTACTGTTTTAATATCGAGCACCAGGAAAAGCGCTTTATAGATGTATTATAATTATGATTATTATAATATAAGCCCAGTGTGCTTTCTGCCTCTTCTTGCACTGTTTATCATTTGTTATCAGGTATGATTGTGATTTTTTTTTATTATAAATAAAATAAATGGTACTTGTGGGTTATCTGTCGCCACTTTTTTATTTTATTGTCTAACCCTAAAAAAAGTGCGTATTCAGAGAGTCTGACAAAACAAAACAAAGCGGCGACAGATAACCCAAAGTACCAACAAAATAAAGTCTACAGTAAGAACCCCGATCAAAAGGTGAACAAACACTATTTATTAATTGTATATTCATGCAGAAATGCAGCGTGTTTCCCTTTAAACGTCACTCTTTCTCTTTGTTTACTATCCCTGGCACCACTTTCAGCTGCGAGTGTGTTCAGTCCATCTGCTGCAGGAGATCAGTGGGAACATTTGATTTTTTTATTCTCCCCTAAAAGCAGCGAGATCATCGGTTACATAAGAGATGATCCTTGAAATAAACACAGAGTATTCCCTGCTGTGCCAAACTTTAATAAGTGCAGAGCGGCTGGCTGACACACACACACACACACAACACACACACACACACACACACACACACACACCACACACACCACACACACACACACACACACACACACACACACACACACACACACACACACACACACACACACACACACACACACACACACACACACACACACACACACACACACACACACACACACACACACACACACCACACACACACACACACACACACACACACACACACACACACACACACACACCATGTATACATCACTTCAGGGGACATTACATTGACTTACATGCATTTCCTGGAGACTTATCCTAACCTTAACCATAACCAACACATGCCTAACCCTTACCCTAACCCTAACCCTAATCCTAACCCTAACCAAGTCTTCACCCTAAAATTAATGATTCCCCTTATGGGGACCTCCAATTTGTCCCCATAAGGGAGGCGAGTCCCCACACGTGACTGTGTAAACAGATGTAGGTCCCCACAAGTATAGTAATGCTAGACCACACACACACACACACACACACACACACACACACACACACACACACACACACACACACACACACACACACACACACACACACACACACACACACACACACACACACACACACACACACACACACACACACACACACACACACACACACACACACACACACACACACACACACACACACAGCAGGTGTCTCTGTGCTGCTGCTGCCACCTGGTGGTCATTACAGGTATTCCTGCAGAGCACCAGATGTGAGAAATGGGTTTTTGTATTAAAAGTCACCGTCATGCTGCTAATACACACGGTGATAGAAAACAACACACTCATGCTCTGCACACCTCGCATCCTATTTTATCATTATTATTTTTAAATTATAGAATTGTATTTATCCTGGAGGGAAATTGCTTTTTCTGAGAGTGGCTTTGCATTTTGAAATGAAAAACATAGATAAATAGAAAATAAAATATGTATATTCAAAATAAGTCGTTAAAGTTAGAAAGTGCAATAAAAAACTATTAAGATACAAATATTGATATAAACATAAGAAGTTATAGTAAAATGTCCAATACAATATTAAATTAAATAAAGATATTTGTATAGACAAAAAATATGAAATAAAAAAAGTATTTAAAAATAAGAAAACGTGTAAAATCCGCCACAATGTTCGGATACCGAGCCCTGAGGCTGTAAAGATGAGGGAAAGCCCAGACGAGGAGTTGCCTGTAATGACTGGGTCGACCTGGTGCCCCCTTGGTGGTTGACATGGTAGACGGCTGACTTAGCCTCGCGGCATCCGCAATTACCGAACATACCTGGCGAAAAACACCGGTCTGTCAGCGTAATGTGTTCAGCCGTTTGTGACCAATCGCAGCCCTTGGAGAACGAAACCGAGACTCCAACACTACGGTTAGAGGGCTACCTACGAAGAGCCACCGGCTATGTTATTTCCCACACTCTGTATCTACCTGTGTTCGCTACCTGTGAGGAGATAATAGAGACATTTCTGATGGTGACGCGGGCCGGGCTGATATAGGCGGGGCTGCCCTACGTCACATATGAATTTGTTGATATTAAATACTCGACCTGCGCATGCGCGAGATAACATCCAGTGTTAAGCACTGCCTCTGGCGGTCAGTAGGAATGAAAAATAACTACGATGTTGTATATGTACCTGTCTGCCTGTGTGGACAGAGTGCACACGGCTTTGGTGGCGCTGTTCCCCGTCATCAGGCTGCCCCCCCTCATCAGGCTGCCCCCCCTCATCAGGCTGTTCCCCCTCATCAGGCTGTTCCCCCTCATCAGGCTGTTCCCCCTCATCTGGCTGTTCCCCCTCATCTGGCTGTTCCCCTTGTTCCCAGTCATCTGGCTGTTCTCCGTCATCAGGCTGCCCCCCCTCAGCAGCTCCTGGATGGAAAGAGGCTGGATGACGGGCTGACTCAGGCCCAGCTCCGAAGCCTCTGTGCTGGGATCACAGCTAAGCTCCGCCCCCAAGTCCACGGCCCCCCCCTGCTGCAGGATGGGGGTTAGAGAGGAGGGGTGCAGGGAGCCGTCGCTGAAGTGTGTGTGTTCCAATGAGCTGATGTACTCCGTCACCCTGCGAGACAGAAGGGAGGTTTTTTAAATGTGTGTAAAGATGCATTTTATTCGTTTATAGAGGCGTCTTGGTGAAAATATGGTGGGAGCGAGACTGGGAAGTGTGTGTGTGTGTGTGTGTGTGTGTGTGTGTGTGTACCTGAAGACGTGGGGCCAGCAGTCGTGGTTGTGGCTGCCCATCTCCAGCCCCACGTTGAGGATGGCGTCCATACACAACACGTGAGCCGTGTGCAGACGCACTCCCTGAGGACGAGACATCTGCTCCAGACGGTGCTTCACTGCACACACACACACACACACACACACACAACACAACACACACACACACAACACACACACACACACACACACACACACACACACACAACACACACACACACACACACACACACACACACACAGACACACACACACACACACACACACACACACACACACACACACACACACACACACACACACACACACACACACACACACACACACACACACACACACACACACACACACACACACTGAATAATGCATATCAATAAAGCTTTTGAGATGTGTGAGTCTTATCTAAATATTGTCTTTGCTTTCAGTAAAGTACAGGATTGTAAAGAGGATGATCAGAGTCTCCACTAGATGCCACTAAAGGATCATTGTTTTACTGACAGGTGCATCACTGACTGCATTAGAGTGTTTTAATTGTTTGCATGTACACATTCTTCCCCTTTTTGTAGTGTTTTTATTGATTCATATGTATATTTTTACCTTCAAGGAAAACAAAATACATACAAAAATACAGGCAGTCATTTTAAAATCATCCTTTGACAAAATTAGCCATTATCTGTCAATTTGAATTACTTTGTTTTGTGTGTTATTGGGAGTGTGTGTGTGTGTGTGTGTGTGTGCGTGTGTGTGTGTTCTCCGTCAGTACCTTGTGTGATGGCGTCTCCCACCTCCCCCACCTCCCTCTCCTCCTTCTCCTCCTGAACACAGGAGGCAGCAGCCATCTGGGCGAGAGCTGAGGCACAGTTAGCTGCCACACCTGAAAGATGAACACACACACACACACACACACACACAAACACACACACACACAAACACACACACACACACACACACACACACAAACACTCACACACGTCAAAACCAGCTGTCCCGTTTCAATCTTTCTCACGTCGTAAAGATCACATCCTGCAAACTCCAACAGTCATTTGTAATTCCAGTGTGTGTTTGAATGTAAAGTGGGAGTACTGATCTACACACACTGCTCTCCGCAGTGTGTGTTGTGCACCATGTGTTCATTCATATTCATAAGAAGCTTCTGTGCCGATCGTTTGAATCAGCCCGGTCGGGGACGTAGTCAAAATGTGTTTCCCCTGATATTCTGTCCACAGATATGCAGCGAGCAGTGAGAGTCCAGCAGGAGCAGCCTGCCACCGGGCAGATGGCAAGTGTTCACATTCCCCCTTTCATTGGGCCTCATTCACAAAGCTTTTTCTTAATTTGTTCTACGAAAAGGGTCATAAGAAATGTAATTGTCAGATTGAAAAAACAGAATTGATTGCTTGTTCTCATGATGATGAAGTCTTTGTAAATTAAAAGCATGTACGAGTTGGTTTTATTCAGCAGGTAAACACACCGGCCAATCGTCTTAAAAGCGCCTTCAAAAACTCCCATTTGTAACGATAGGTGCTTATGTATGGGCTACAATGCCTGTGTGTTACCACTAGGGGGCAGTATAACATCAGCTTACTATGTACAGAGGGAGTAGAGGAAGATGGGAGTCAGTACTGCATGTGTGGATGACAATAAAGTGGCCTGTCAAGCTAGCACAAAGATTCAGCACAGTGTCTTGTTACAAATAAGAACATTATACCATTAAGAGAACATCAATCAACTAAATTCACTTAAACTAATAGTAAAGTAGAAAGGCACCAAGTGTGTATCCTCCCTGTTAATCAGATCAGATCTAAAGTTCATTAGTGTCTTCATTTTCCAACAAGTTCCACTTAAACTGGACCAGACGCTGTTGATATCATCTGCTTGGTGGATTTAAAGAGGTCCTATAGAGACACTACATACTGATACACACCTGAACATCAGCAGGAGAGGACTCTTTAAAGTAGAGACACTACATACTGATACACACCTGAACATCAGCAGGAGAGGACTCTTTAAAGTAGAGACACTACATACTGATACACACCTGAACATCAGCAGGAGAGGACTCTTTAAAGTAGAGACACTACATACTGATATACACCTGAGCATCAGCAGGAGAGGACTCTTTAAAGTAGAGACACTACATACTGATATACACCTGAACATCAGCAGGAGAGGACTCTTTAAAGTAGAGACACTACATACTGATATACACCTGAACATCAGCAGGAGAGGACTCTTTAAAGTAGAGACACTACATACTGATATACACCTGAACATCAGCAGGAGAGAACTCTTTAAAGTAGAGACACTACATACTGATATACACCTGAACATCAGCAGGAGAGGACTCTTTAAAGTAGATACACTACATACTGATATACACCTGAACATCAGCAGGAGAGGACTCTTTAAAGTAGAGACACTACATACTGATATACACCTGAACATCAGCAGGAGAGGACTCTTTAAAGTAGAGACACTACATACTGATACTGTAGTCCTGAATGTGTGCCAGCTCCTGGGCTACTGCTGAGAATCTGCCCCTGACCTTTGACCTTTCTGTGTTCAGGTTCAGGGGAACAGAGGACTTCCTGCTGTGACCGATGTTTCACATTAATTCAGACGGAGGTTATTTTTGTTTCACGCACCTAAAGCACAGCTGAGCGCAGCAGCTTTCCGGAGTCCGTCTAAACTCAGACAGATTGTGTCTCTCTCCCTCTGGCTCTGCTCCTTCACCCCCTCGGCCCCCAAAATGAACGCCAGGCCTTTAGAGCTTCCCGCCATGCGACCGGTCAACGGCGTGGAGAGCACGTCGATCAGGTTCTTCCACACACCGGTGAGGATGAAGCGGGAGAACACGGCGCCTGAAAACACACAGAGATACTGAGCTGAGAGACGTCAAACAGGAAGGAAGTCAAAGTCAACTTTTGACTCAAGATTCCAAAGCATGCTTTTATTGTGAACATGGAAGCAATGTTGGACCACATTCAAGAATACCCATCTTTCTAAAAAGGAGAATGTGTTTTCTGTACAGATTAAATGTATTGTCAATCTTTAAGCTTGTGTGTAAAGACAGAGAGATCGAAATACCAGTTCCCACAATCCAGAATACAAATATATATAACATGTATACACCTATATATACACAATAAACAGACACATGTATACGTATGCAAACAATAAGACATAAATAAAAGCACAACAATCAATAAAAACAAAATAACAGTCACTTCAAAATCTTTGAGAAGCACTACGTTACATTAACACTGTGTGACCATCACTCAATTACACATGGTTCACTGAGAGCCTGCACACACTCGTCTGTGTTGGATATGGTGTGTGTGTTACATGTTGTTATCATGGATGTTTCCCCTCGTTTCGATGTATGTGAGTCACATGTATGTAGTAGCCTCTATCCACTTCTATCTATCACCCTTTCTTTATAACTAATGCTGTTGATGTGTTGGGATTTTAAGTCTCTCTATTATCAGCTGGAAATGAGCAATGTTGGCTAAAGCTGCTTCGTCTACTGTTTTTTGTGACAGTTGATTAATGGGGACTGTCCACGACACCAGTGTTTCCGCCAGACCGGGGCTGAGAGGGCGTCCACCCCGAGAGCAGGGGGGGGGGGGGGGTTGACTTGAGCCGTCCCTTATAGACACTGTCTTTTTACGTTAGTGATCCGGATCATGTGGGTCGGCTCTCTTACGGCCCCTACACACGGCGGCGTGCCTTGCCGCTTCAACGCTTCTGCCCATTCACTTTGAATGGGGTGACGTCACGATTCGCCGAACTGCATTGTGGGAGCAAAGCGTAGCTTCTCTCGCGGTGCTCGCTGCAAAAGTAGAGCAATGTTCTACTTTTGCCGCCTCGACGGAGGCGTCAGCCAATCAAATCTCGCGTATGCAAATCTGACATTACAAGCGCTAGCCAATCAAACCGCGTGTATGTTGGGAGAGCGAGACCGCAGTTATTTCCCATATGTCAAAAAATGGAGGAGAAAATGATCGTGGCGGTACTATATGACCAGTCCCTCTTTACATACAGGGATACAAACCGGAGGAGCCAGGCATGGGAGGAGGTGGCAGAGACAGTGGGTGAAACTGGTAGGTGTTCGCCTGTTTGGGGAGTTTATATCCAGTGTACTTCGTTTGAATGGACAGCTAGCAAACATAGACAGTATATTTAGCCAGCATGGATGTAGCATGAATGCTTTGCTTTGTATGTCCGGGGAGGGACATTCATGTGATTGGTTGTTGGTCGCGTTGTTCGTAAAAAATCCCCAAGCTTCAGACACGCCCACCGCCAAGCGGTAACGCACGCCGCCGTGTGTAGAGGCCGTTAAAGCGCAGGCTGTTTCAGCTCCCAAACGGCTCGTTCCGCCGCTGCGAGGCTCTGGTGCTCGCAGCTCACGCGCGTGCTCCACTAAAACCCCCCCTGCTCATCGCGTCTAAATCGCGCACGTTCCGTGTTGTCCTGTCGCAGGCACCTTCGATGTCGGGGAAACGATCTTCAATACTCCGAAAATAATCCCACCAGACTCCTTTGCCCCTCCAACAGAGGGATGTCCTTGTCCTTTTTCCTTTTCGTCATTTCAAGCGATAAAAACTCTCGATCTTCTCTCGAATTATTAATATTTGTGGACGCCCTCGGCTCGAGTTCAGGGCGTCCCGAGCTGAATAAGGGCGTCAAATGACGGCAAGACGCCCCCCTGGCGGAAACGCTGCACGACACTATAAACTAATAAACTAAACGTTACTCAACAATACATGATCAATAAACCCTCCCACCCCTGGGTAATATAACAGCTGTGGAAGGAGTGATATTTATAAGAGGTTTTCATTACAGGTCAAAACATGAAGTGTTCTTTATGATTGGAATATTTTTTGAGGTAATGCTCAGAGGAGCTTTTCCCAGCGCTGATAAATCATCCCCGCTGTAAATAAAAAGGTTCCCTGACCCTGAATCTGCTGCTGATGTTAACCTTTTTGAGGGGCCACAGATGAGCAAGGCAAGAGCAGACAGTGTTTTAAATCATACTGCACTGTAAAAGGGAACAGGGTGTAACTGCTGGCCTCATCATTAAACTACTCGATCCCGTGGAAAATATTGAGTCATATCCAGAAACCCTTAAAGCATTCAAGTGAATAACAACATTTTAAAGGTCCCGTGTCACGGCCATTTCTACTGATCATAAGTTCCATCGTTGAGGTCGACTAGAATAGATTCACTTTGTTCAATGTTCCAAACTCACATTGGTTTCTCACAGCTTCTCTGTGTAGTCTGTGTATTCACTCTCTGTCCTAAAGGCTTGTTGGAGCTCCTGCCCCCCCCCCCCCCCCTGTGAGCCCAGTGTGCTCTGATTGGTCGGGACGCTGCGAGGCTCGCTGCTCACTGAGCTGGCTTGCTGGTGTGGTTTCCGGATCGGCGATACAGCGAAACTCAAAGTTCCTGAACATAGTGACATCACTTCTTTTGGCTAGCGTTTCAACACATTGTAACTGATAGGGGCGGGACATCTCTAAGCGGTTGACCAATCACAACAGCCCCTTTAAATCTATATCGGAGAGTAAAGGACGTTATAGACTTGAAGGCTCGTGCACTTCTCATTAGATGGATGTTATTACATGTTTTTTGAAATATTTAAAGGATTGGAAACAGAATAATGTGGAGTCACTGATTCTGTCTTTGTGTAAGAGGCTGAAGAACAAGATGAGAGGGAGGCAAAACTAAAAAAGGTCAGGAGGAAAGATTTAAAGAGCGAGGTGGAAAAAATGAGTCAGAGACCACCTGCCCTCCTTCTTCCTGAGAGACAAGAAACTGGGCAGAATTGCCATGGAAACCCTCACTGTGTCAGCCCTGTGCGTGCATGCGTGTGTGTGTGCGTGGGTGTTTCTCAATGTCGAGAACGCTTGCTTGTTAGCACATGTCTTCCGAGTCACTTGCTTCAGAAGCGAGGCAAGAATACTTCCTGGCATTCAGAAAACGAAGAGCAAAGCATTGTGGGGATTTTAAGACCGCGGAGTCTACACATCTGCAGCCTCGAAATCTCTCGCTACGAAGTACGCCGGGCTCGGTAGAATTCCAAGTATGCTGGAGATTGGAACAGTCCTTCGGCGGGACTCCATGACGTAGTATGCTTGAAAAAGTGGCTCTGGAGCAGCTTTACTTGACATTGAGAAACACCCTGAGTATGTGTGTGTGTATGTGTGTGTGTGTGTTGTGTGTGTGTGTGTGTGTGTGTGTGTGTGTGTGTGTGTGTGTGTGTGTGTGTGTGTGTGTGTGATGTAAGACAACAGAACAATGTGTCCTCTGCTCAAATTATCTGCAGATTAGCTTCTGACCTGCCGTCACCGTGTCACTTCCTGTCTTATCAACGCTGAGTGGTGATTGGCTGGATGCCCTCCTGATCAGCTGACCTCCAATCGCACTGCTGCCCAGACCATCGATGTCTGAGGTTGGAGGAAGAGGAGGAGGAGGAAGAGGAGGAGAGGAGGAAGAGGAGGAGAGGAGGAAGAGGAGGAAGGAAAAAGGTTAGCGCCACATAAACTTCAGTATGTGTATGTGTGTGTGTGTGTGTGTGTGTGTGTGTGTGTGTGTGTGTGTGTGCGTGCTTGTGTGTGTGTGTGTACCTGTCAGTATGGTGATGAGGGCCACTGATTGGTCCTCCTGAGAGATGCAGTACCCCCCCTCCTCCAGCAGGTTTCTGTCTAACACCTGGTGATAAAGCTCCTCTATCCACGCCTGAGAGAGAACCACCAGAACCCCACTGCTCTGGATCAGACGGCCAAACTCCTTCTGCACACACACACACACACACACACACACACACACACACACACACACACACACACACACACACACACACACACACACACACACACACACACACACACACACACACACACACACACACACACACACACACACACACACACACACACACACACACACACACACACACACACACACACACACACACACACACACACACACACACACACACACACACACACACACACACACACACACACACACACACACACACACACACACACACACACACACACACACACACACACACACACACACACACACACACACACACACACACACACACACCAACTATCAATATATCCATGTAGCAATTTCATCTCATCTATACAAAGTCTTCCTTATCTTATTGTACAGTATAGAGTTTACCCTCTCCTGTAGGTTTTAGTGCATGTGAATGGTCTGCAAAGGCTAAAATCCCAAAGGCCCCTGTTTGTGTAGTTTTGAGTATGTGTGTGTAGTGTGCGTGCTCACCAGGCACAGACTGGGAGCGAGCGTCCTCCTCCTGTAATAGTCGCAGCAGCACAGTTTGAGGTTGAGCAGCAGGGCGGAGTAGGACACCAGATACAGACCGTCTGCGTTCATCAGAGACTGACAGGTCAGAGTGTCGCCCGCCTCGAAACCCGGGGAGTGGATCCCCCCTGTGGAGAGAGACGGAGGGTAAACACCTTTAATATGTGGCACTCTACTCAATACTTATATTATATATTACCCTCCCTCAGTATCTGTTGTGAAAATCCTGAGTGTCCTCTTCCAACATGAGAGCAACCTGATATCAAAGGTATCAACTGCAGCTGTGAACATGACAGGATGTGTGATTACCTAGAAGAGCATCAGGACTGTTTGAGGCATATGATAGCTCTGTGATTAACATGATGATTCAGCCTCTATGGAGAGAGACATCAAGCATGCTCATTTCTGACGTGGAGCTAATCTAGGCAACACTAACCAGGCTTCGTGTGATTCTGTTTATGTGTACCTTACTTTGACCATCCGTTCGCTGTCATTGATCATTGTGGAGAGAGGCAGACGTGTTGTTTTGTATTATAGCAGCTATCAGATGGAATCAATACATGGGCTGCACAGGTTGTCGTGTCCGACTATCACAAGGAGAATCATAATGAAAAATACGCTGGTAAAATGTGCCTGTAGAAAACGGCTTCTGCCACAATAGGATAGCAACAAGTAGTCAAGTTATAGTCAGTTTAGCTTCGGTTGCTATGGTAACATCACCCATTTTATACCAGAGAAACTTTCATTACAGCGTTGTGATGCCAAACAGCGAGCGGCACTGCAGCGGTCGGTAAATGCAGCTGAAACACATTAATAAACAATGAACCACGGCACTCTGGAGAAAAGTGCAAGGGTTGAGAAGCAGTTATTTAATTTAATCTGGCTTCGTGTGATTAAAAGCAACACGAGAAAATCAGTGGCGTAAACGGTGACGTCGTGACGCAGCCGCGGCAGCACCAGTCGGGCTCTGGGCGGTGTGAAAAAAACGGGGGCTGAAAATAAAACCGGTTCTGAACCAGAAGAGCTCAAGCACGGAGCTAGAACGGGAACCGCGTTGGTGTGAAAGGGGCAAGAGGGGCGTGGCTCCTTATTTTCATCTAAGTAACAGACAGAGAATCAGCACTTTGGAAACAGGGCTGAAACAGAGGGGATTATGGGTAATGCTGCAATGATCTGTTTGGTGTTTCAGCCAATCAGAGACAGGCTCTGGATATATCTGAGACCTGTAATATATTGATGGAAACAGTACAATAGGGGACCTTTAAGTACAGCACTTGTAGGAGCATATTTCACCACTGCACACTCAATCACACCGTTTTTCAATCACCCACAAACTCCGTGGATGTTTCCTCACCAGCTTGCAGTCCGGAGCAGAAGTTGGAGGAGAATTTCTGCAGCGACAGGTCCACCTCGCCGGCACTTCTCAGTCCCAACAGACGAGGAAGCAGCGAGGCCAGCGCCTGCACGAAGATGCGCGCGCTCTGCTGGTCCGCCTCCTGGTGGCGCAGCAGTTTGAGTGACAGCGCGGCGGTGCGCAGCGATCGATGACCCGGACAGTCTCGGGGCGTCTGCTGCTCCTCGTCAGCCAGAGACACGTTATCGGAGCCGATATCGGACACGTCGGAGCGACCCGAGTCCTTCTCTGCTGCCATGGAGTACTGATCACACGAGTCGAACTCTGTCCGCGACAAATCCTGCTCCTCCATGCTGAGGAGGAGAAGATACAGCAATGTTATGTTCAAGGTTCATGGTCAGTTTGTTTTGGGGTTAGGAGACGGAGCAGGAACATCATGTTATGTTGCTGACAGGGTGGGGAGGGAGACCTTCAAAATGTAATCCGCTATAATTAGTAGTTATTTGTGGAATAATGTAATCAGTAATCTGAGTATCTCCGCAATTAAAGGATTAGGCCACATGGGAACATTTTTGGAGACGTGAGTTCTGACTTTTTGCGCAGAAATAAATCTGAATTATTTTGGTATGGAAGTCAATGGTATTCTGGTTGTTTAAAGTTAACTTTTTACTTCAGAAATCATAAAGTGGTGTTAGTATGTGCAGATTATCCTGCTGAACTAAACGTGTAAGTATCATAAATGTTTGTTTGACACAGAGATGCTTTTCTGCAATAATCCAAAATCTAACGGAGAAATCCCTCTGGCTTTTTGTGGAGGGAACCAGGGAGAAGCTAACTTCTTTCCTACAGACATACCTCAACCCTGCACCACACTATACACACACACACACACACACACACACACACTACACACACACACACACACACACACACACACACACACCACACACACACACACACACACACCACACACACCACACACACACACACACACACACACACACACACACACACACACACACACACACACGACTTATCCTAACCTTAATAATAATAATAATGCATTTTAGTTATATAGCGCTTTTCACAACTCAAAGACGCTTGACCATAACCAACACACGCCTAACCCTAACCCTTACCCTAACCCTAACCCTAACCCTAACCCTAACCCTAACCCTTATCCTAACCTAACCAAGTCTTCACCATAAAATTAATGATTCCCCTTATGGGACCTCCAATTTGTCCCCATAAGGGCGGCGAGTCCCCACACGTGACTGTGTAAACAGATGTAGGTCCCCACAAGTATAGTAATGCTAGGCCACACACACACACACACACACACACACACACACACACACACACACACACACACACACACCACACACACACACACACACACACACCACACACACACACACACACACACACACACACACACACACACACCTGAAGTTGCTCTCGCTGTATCTCGATCCCGCCCCATGGTGTGTTCTGGTCCTTGACTCCACAGACAGGAAGTTGGTGATGTCGGGGTAAACGAGGCCGTGAGTCCTCTGCACCACATCTGGAGGAACCACAGCTCCTCTGTCTCCTCGCTCTCCTCTCTCTCCTCTATCTCCTCGCTCTCCTCCTCCCAATCTCTCCTTCTCCAATCCTCCGTCCTCCAACTGGTTCTCCTCCAGGATCGGATCACATTTGGTCTCGTCCTAATCGCCACAGGATTTGTATTTATGTATTAAAGACAGTTTTATTCCACAGGCCATAATAATAATACACTTTGTTTGTAAAGCACCTTTCATGCACAAAGCAGCCCAACGTGCAGAACAAGATAAAACATCAACAGGCATCCTAATGAAATTCCCTTGAAGTAAAGCTGACAGAAATTAAAATCTGGATCAGCTCCGTTGTTCCCCCGTTTTTAGAGATGCGTGTACGGAGGAAAAGAGAGAGGGTTTTATTTTCTGACACTTTGAGAGTCTCCTGAGACACCAGGGACACACCGGACACACACCGGGGACACACACCGGACACACACCGGGGACACACACCGGACACACACACACCGGACATACACACCGGACACACACACAGGACACACACACCGGACACACACACCGGACACACACACCGGACACACACACCGGAGGACACACACACCGGGGACACACACCGGGGACACACACACCGGAGGACACACACCGGGGACACACACACACCGGACACACACACACCGGGGAAACACACCGGACACACACACCGGGGACACACACACACCGGACACACACACGGGACACACACACGGGACACACACACGGGACACACACACCGGACACACACACCGGACACACACACCGGGGACACACCGGGGACACACACACCGGAGGACACACACCGGGGACACACACACACCGGACACACACACACCGGGGAAACACACCGGACACACACCGGACACACACACCGGGGACACACACACCGGAGGGACACACCGGGGACACACACACCGGAGGACACACACCGGGGACACACACCAGACACACACCTGGGAAACACACCGGAGGGACACACACCGAACACACACACACCGGACACACACACACACCGGACACACACACACACCGGACACGGACACACACACACCGGAGAAACACACCGGACACACACCGGGGACACACACACCGGGGACACACACACCGGACACACACCGGGGACACACACCGGACACACACACACCGGACACACACACCGGAGGACACACACCGGACACACACCGGGGAAACACACCGGGGACACACACACGGGAGGACACACACACACCGGACACACACACACCGGACACACACACCGGACACACACACACCGGACACACACACCGGACACACACACCGGACACACACACCGGAGACACACCGGGGACACACACACACCGGACACACACACCGGACACACACACCGGACACACACACCGGAGACACACACTGGGGACACACACCGGACACACACCGGACACACACCGGGGACACACACCGGACACACACACCGGGGACACACACCGGGGACACATGGTGATGTATCAAAGACATCAAAAAGTGCATTTTGCATGATAGGAGACCAAAGATAGAAGCTAGCATGCACAGACGTGATGAAGAACAACGAGCCTTACTCCAGTAGTTGGTGAAGGGAGATGTGTTTCCTCCTCACAATCTTCAGGAGAGGTTTGGCTCGGCTCCTCCACCTCCGGGTCCACGGTGGTTTGGCCCGTTTCGGTGGTGATGCTAATGCTAATGTCGGGGCTTCGCTCTTTGGGGGCCACGCTGGAGGAGTTAGGGTCCCAGGGAGGCTGCTCCGAGGCCAGGATGTGTCTCTGCCACCTGAAGTCCGCCTCGTTGATCTCCATGGACTCCCGGGTCGATTCTGCACCGTCTTTAAGGTCCTCCAGACGTCTGAGGAGCAGCCGAGCCTGAGGAGAAGCTGCTGAGTTACTATTACTTAGAAAACTCTCCCTGGTCCCCGGCTTGATCTTCAATCTCAGGATCCATGTATCTGTGATCCTCTCCAGAATGGAAGTAGTCATCACATACAGAGCATCAACTAGTTCCTGAACAGTGTCCTTCACATGCTGATATCCAAGAGAGGGAGTTACACAGTCACAAGATGGAGGAATACCAGTTCTTGTTATCATACATCCTGTCCTGAACAAAATACTGAGTTTTTCTCTAAATCGGAAAATTCTGACTTTTTCTAAAAATTCTGACTTTTTAAAATCCTGACTTTTTTTTCAAAGAATCTAAGAATTCTGACTTTTTCTCAAAATCTCAAAATGTTAATAATCCCTGGTCCCCGGCTTGAGCTTGAATCTCAGGATCCATTTATCTGTGATCCTCTCCAGAATGGAAGTAGTCATCACATACAGAGCATCACCTAGTTCCTGAACAGTGTCCTTCACATGCTGATATCAAGAGAGGGAGTTACACAGTCACAAGATGGAGGAATAGAAAGCAGTATTCAATGTTTACTTCAGATTAGCTCCACGTCAGAAATGAGCATGCTTGATGTCTCTCTCCATAGAGGCTGAATCATCATGTTAATCACATAGCTATATGCCTCAAACAGTCCTGATGCTCTTCTAGGTAATCACACATCCTGTCACGTTCACAGCTCCAGTTGATACCTTTGTTAGCATGCTACTCTCATGTTGGAAGAGGACACTCAGGATTTTCACAACACTATTTTGTATTTAAAAAGAACATATTGGGCTCATTCTCAGGTTCATATTTGTATTGTTGTTGTGCTACTACTGTGACATGTTTAGAGTAACTCTCTCAACCCTGCGTGTACTGAAACTGAGCTGGATTTTTGGGCCTTTCTTCAAGGTGGCTAAATGAAGTCCACTCATACAATACCTGCTGTGTCAGTAATACCTGCTCTGATTGGATGCCGTGGCCCTTAGAAAGTTCATCCAGCGCCCCGAGGAGAGCGCAGGCGCAGGAGACGGAGGAGAAACACGCCTCGATGCCCCCCTTCACACAGGCCTCCGTCATCCCATCCATCACTCTGCAGAGCGAACAAGAGACATCAGAACGAAGCAGGAACACACAAACATACCTTCTTTGCTATGTTTTTGCAAACTGTAACAACACCGTGCAATGTGTACGTTGTACTCTTTAAAAAGTAACCCCTGTGCACCTTTAAGAGCGTAGGCTGACATTAGGACATGATGCAATTCAGAAAGGTAGTTTATAACTTTGTTAGAACAAGATGGAGGATTTACGAACAGTTTCAGAAGGTCCAGGTGAGACTTCCTCTTGGAAAATGAACGTTTCCTGGTTTCAGGTTCGGCCACGCACGGACCGGCAAGATCGTAGAGACGCTGAGGACTGCCCAGAATCTAACACACACACAAACAGAGAACAATTGCTTCTAACAAAGGAAGTCATGTGACCGTGCTGTAGTTATTTTATAGCCCAACATTAGCCTCCTTTAGCTTAGCGGTGGTGACGTGAAGTAATGTGACCGTGCTGTAGTTCCTTTATAGCCCAACATTAGCCGCCTTTAGCTTAGCGGTGGTGACGTGAAGTCATGTGACCGTGCTGTAGTGCCTTTATAGCCCAACATTAGCCACCTTTAGCTTAGCGGTGGTGACGTGAAGTCATGTGACCGTGCTGTAGTGCCTTTAGAGCCCAACATTAGCCACCTTTAGCTTAGCGGTGGTGACGTGAAGTCATGTGACCGTGCTGTAGTGCCTTTATAGCCCAACATTAGCCAGCTTTAGCTTAGCGGTGGTGACGTGAAGTCATGTGACCGTGCTGTAGTGCCTTTATAGCCCAACATTAGCCACCTTTAGCTTAGCGGTGGTGACGTGAAGTCATGTGACCGTGCTGTAGTTCCTTTATAGCCCAACATTAGCCTCCTTTAGCTTAGCGGTGGTGACGTGAAGTCATGTGACCGTGCTGTAGTTCCTTTATAGCCCAACATTAGCCGCCTTTAGCTTAGCGGTGGTGATGTGAAGTCATGTGACTGTGCTGTAGTTCCTTTATAGCCCAACATTAGCCGCCTTTAGCTTAGCGGTGGTGATGTGAAGTCATGTGACTGTGCTGTAGTTCCTTTATAGCCCAACATTAGCCTCCTTTAGCTTAGCGGTGGTGACGTGAAGTCATGTGACCGTGCTGTAGTTCCTTTATAGCCCAACATTAGCCGCCTTTAGCTTAGCGGTGGTGATGTGAAGTCATGTGACTGTGCTGTAGTTCCTTTATAGCCCAACATTAGCCGCCTTTAGCTTAGCGGTGGTGATGTGAAGTCATGTGACTGTGCTGTAGTTCCTTTATAGACCAACATTAGCCTCCTTTAGCTTAGCGGTGGTGATGTGAAGTCATGTGACTGTGCTGTAGTTCCTTTATAGCCCAACATTAGCCTCCTTTAGCTTAGCGGTGGTGACGTGAAGTCATGTGACCGTGCAATAGTTCCTTTATATATTTATTTATTCATTTAGTTCTTTATTTTAATATTTATAACATAACATAGGATTTCATAAAGTATTTTTAAAATAGTTTATACATTATTCAAATATAGGAATAGTAGATAGGATTACTTAAAATATAGTACCTTATATTTCATCTTTTTTCCCTTTAGACCCTTGCGGTTTATTCTTAAAAACCCTTACCCTTACCCACCCACCCCATTTCCCCTCTGCTGGTCTATGGCCTTGTAGAGGGGAACGGTCCCCTCTGCTGGTCTATGGCCTTGTAGAGGGGAACGGTCCCCTCTGCTGGTCTATGGCCTTGTAGAGGGTAACGGCCCCCTCTGCTCGTCTATGGCCTTGTAGAGGGTAACGGGGTACAGAGTGGCTTAGGTAAGCGGGGGAGTGCATCTGACAAAGAGAGGTTGTTGTGCTCCCTCTCTCTGTTTCTTATCTATATCTATAGAACTGCTCGGGTCTTGATAGATTGAGTGGGGAAGTTCATGAGATCTTTCTAGAGGGTTATCAAGAATAACTTGTATCCAATGACCTTTTCCCTCTCTGTCTGTGTCTGTGTATTCTCTTGTTCCGATTAACCCAGCCAAATCTTTGTTCTTGTTTTGTATCTATATCTACGCCGGGATCCGGAGTCGAGGCTGATCCTCTTGCTGTGGTCCTGTGTCTTGGATCCTCTATCCTGAGTTCTGGATGAAGTCGTGGACGTTCGGGTCGTGGCTGAACCTGTCGCTGCGGTCCTGCCTTGGGTCTCGTCATGCTGCTTCCCTGATGGCTTCCACAGGATTGTAGCTGACATCCTCGTGGATTCATCTTCTTATTACAGACACATGCATTTCCTAACATTCGGTCTATACGCTGTAAAATGTATTATCTCTTGGATTTACACACGGCATCTATTGCACGTCTGTCCGTCCTGGGAGAGGGATCCCTCCTCTGTTGCTCTCCCTGAGGTTTCTCCCATGTTCCCTTTAAACTGTGGGTTTTCTCTGGAAGTGTTTCCTTGTACGATGTGAGGGTCTAAGGACAGAGGGTCTGAGGACAGAGGGTCTGAGGACAGAGGATCTAAGGATAGAGGGTCTAAGGATAGAGGGTCTAAGGACAGAGGGTCTGAGGACAGAGGGTCTAAGGACAGAGGGTCTAAGGACAGAGGGTGTTGTTTTTCTCATACTGATATTCTGAACAATCTGTGCTGTTGTATTTGCTGTAAAGTGTCTCTACTGTAGGCTATTTTTATTATATGTACAGCACTTTGGCTCCACCAAAAATCGTTTATAAATGTGCTATATAAATAAAACTTGATTTGATTTGATTTGATTTGATAGCCCAACATTAGCCACCTTTAGCTTAGCAGTGGTGACGTGAAGTCATGTGACCGTGCTGTAGTTCCTTTATAGCCCAACATTAGCTTTTTACTTCAGAAATCTTAAAGTGATGTTAATATGTGGAGATTATCCTGCTGAACAAAACGTATAAATATCATAAACGTTTGTTTGGCACAGAGATTATTTTCTGTAACAATCCAAAATCACATTCCTATCCCATTGAACCAGGGACATGCTGCCTTCAGGGACCAACAAATAAATGTCATCACTGCACCACTGGAATCAAAGGTTTCTGAAGGTATAAAATCTATCTGTAAATGTATAATAATGTGTCCCCACCTCCTTCATGATGCGGATGGCCTCGGTGCGGTGCTGAGGGGGGGGGTACAGCAGGATCCGGTGATAGAGCGACTGCAGAACCGGCTTCATGGACTCCACGCAGTTCACCAGACGCACCAGCTCTGCAGCGATGTAACACACAGTCCTCACCACCGGGGCGATCCTGGCAGGGGCGCTAGAGGAGCAGCCGGACCCTCGACCCTGATCCGATACCCCCCCACCGAAGAGATCCACATCCTGGCCCATTCCTGGAGAAAGGGGAACACACAGGGGCATCAAGATGAGCCACTAAAATGGGCTTTAATCCGAAAGACAAAGCAAAGACAAACAAACTAACTACTGCGCTTATATATCTTTTTTTAAATAAGGTTACCTAGACTCAGTCTGTCCGAGGCGCGGTCCGGCGCCCCCATGTGGCCGTGGTGGGAGGCGATGGTTTTGTCGTTGACAGGATTTCCCATGATCGCCACGAGGGACGGACACAGCTGCTTCCTGGGAGGAGGAATATTGATTAATTTAGGAGAATAAGTTATTGTGCTTACTAGGGGCGGGGGACATAATCGATATAGCATAGTATCGTGATACTTTGCGTGGCGATATTGTATGAATACACTGACGCCAAGTATCAATCTTTTATTATATGAACTATTCATATTACAAATCCAAATTAAAGGGTTAATAATAATAATAATAATTCATTTATTTTATATAGGCGCCTTTCCAGGCTCTCAAGGTCGCCGTACAAACACATAAAAAACAAGATACACAATACATAACACCAGCATAAGAAACATAAACAAGACAATGCAACAAATCAAATAAATAAAACAGAGGATGTGTGATGGATAATGATCAGGGTGGATAAGCGAGTGTGAAGAGATGTGTTTTGAGGCGTGATTTGAAAATGGGGAGAGAGTCAGTGTTGCGGATGTCAGGTGGGAGGGAGTCCCAGAGGTGGGGTGCAGAGCGGCTGAAGGCTCTAGACCCCATGGTGGTTAAACGGAAGGGGGGTGCAGAGCGGCTGAAGGCTCTAGACCCCATGGTGGTTAAACGGAAGGGGGGTGCAGAGCGGCTGAAGGCTCTAGACCCCATGGTGGTTAAACGGAAGGGGGGTGCAGTGAGGCTGAGGGAAGCAGAAGACCTGAGTGTGCGGATGGGTGTGTTGATGTGCAGGAGGTCGGAGAGGTACAGAGGAGTGAGGTTATGGATGGCCTTAAAGGCGAGGAGCAGAATCTTAAAAACGATACGGGATTTGACGGGGAGCCAGCTGCTGAAGAACAGGAGTGATGTGGTTAATGGAGGGGGTTCTGGTGATGATGCGGGCGGCAGAGTTCTGAACCAGTTGAAGTCTGTGGATGGATTTGAGAGGGAGACCAAAGAGAAGGGAGTTGCAGTAGTCGATGCGGGAAGTGACCAGGGTGTGAACAAGAATGGCGGTGGTCTTGGGGTTAGGGTTAATTACATTTGTTGGTAACAATTGCTTTTTCAATCCACTAGATGGTGCTGAGCTTTTCTTCCATGGGTAAAGTCAGTGGGATTGGCAGGAAGTTAGTCAAAACAAAGATGTAAATATCGCAAATATATCGTATTGCAATACTTGGCATATCGTAGAATTGCAATACTATCGTATCGTGGCTTAAGTATCGCGATAGTATCGTATTGTGGGTAGCCTGGTGATTCCCCCCCCTAGTGCTTAATAGATCACAGACAGATACACAACAAAATCCAAGAAACCTGAAGCAGTAACTGGAATAAAGACTCCCAACATGTCTCATTAAGGATCTCTGATGTTTAGTTGACATCATTGACAGCACTTCATGCATGTAAGATTATAGCAGTGTTAAATGTCGTACCATACGAGGTCTGTGAACCCTCTGGACAGGTGCATTGTGGGAGGACAGCTGCTGAGCATGGAGAGGATGGACTCCAGGTAGAGGAGCTGCAGCAGCTGGTTATCACTGCAGGGGGAGTGATTCAAAGGAGCATAGAACAAATCAGACGTTATTATTATAAAGAACTGAAACTATATTAGAAGTATGTCCGCTATACCCATTTAGCTCAAATACACAGACAAAGCTATAATCTTGAGAGTAATACAGGGTGCTGCAACGAGAAAGTTAGGCGTATATGCAGAGGACAGTCATATGGTTCTTTAGTCAAGTTTCAATCATGTGAGTTACAGTCAACTAAGTAATCTCTTCATTAACTTAGCGATTATGTTCTGGATGTATTCCATCCATCCAAAGTCTAAAGTGATGTTTTTAAATGACTTGTGTTGTGAGAACAAAACTAGGTATTGATATTTCAAAAAAAGCATAATTGAGAGACTGAAAACTGTATTTTTCTTGGAGTAACTAATTATGTTTCTGTAAATCAATTTACCAATTTGTCAACTTATCGTTTCAGCTCTAGCTTAATAATAATTTAGCCAGTAAAGTATCTGATCAACAGTCTGTTAACACACCGTATGTAAACGCATAGATTATCTTCTGTTTTGGTTCTTGAAAGAGTCTAGCATTCAAATGCATGTCCTTTTAGGTAACGGATACTCTTTGAGGTTCGTTGACACGACAGAGAATCCCTAATGTTCACTAACAAGGACCAAGCTGAAATATCACTTAAATATTAAAACAAAAGAAAGGATTCTGCTTTTGAAATGTCTCTATTTTGTGTCTCTTAAAAGGATATTTCAATTCCTGAAATGCAGGAGAAGGAATCAAGGATATGAAGATTAAACAATACTACAAAAATATATAAATAAACTGCGGTGTTACCTGTCCACTGACTCCAGTTTTTCACAGAAAACTGTCAGCACCGTCACCACATCTTCACACAGCGACTGGCTGGTGGGGGAAATATCTGCTCACACACACACACACACACACACACACACACACACACACACACACACACACACACACACACACACACACACACACACACACACACACACACACACACACACACACACCACACACACACACACACACACACACACACACACACACACACACACACACACACACACACACACACACACACACACACACACACACACACACACACACACACACACACACACACACACACACACACACACACACACACACACACACACACACACACACACACACACACACACCACACACACACACACACACACACACACACACACACACACACACACACACACACACACACACACATTTACAGCAGCTGCTTTGTGTCAGTGATAGCAGACTTGGCCGCTGAATGTATTTCCTTCATGGGGGAAAATGGAGGTGATTACAGATGGAGTTTTCTCTGGTGGTGGATGAGTTACCTCTTCTGTGCAGAGGGGCGGAGTCACCTCGTCTCCATCGGCCCCCTGTGGAGAAACACAGCAGAAGGTACAGTTAGGAAGAGGAGGGCTTTCTTTAGGGGTCATTTAGTGGTGTGTGTGTGTGATACGCTAAGTGTGTTATTGTGTGTACCAGTTTGTGTGTGTGTGTGTGTGTGTGTGTGTGTATGTGTGTGTGTGTGTGTGTGTGTGTGTGTGTGTGTGTGTGTGTGTGTGTGGGTGTGTGTGTGTGTGTGTGTGTGACCTCTTGTCTGTGTCGAAGCTGCAGTGTCAGGTCTCCCAGAATCTGGCTCAGCGTGGCTCGGACCGCCGTGTTGATGCTGCGCTGGTGACAGCTGGAAACATATGTCTTGATACACACCTACACACACACGCACACACACACACACACACACACACACACACACACACACACACACACACACACACACACAAGCAATATCTTTTGTATTAATTTACATTCTCATTGTGACATTTTGCATCTTATCCCAGGCACTTTATGTCATATAAGATTGATGATAATGGATTTCATCAGCCAACACACACACACACACACACACACACACACACACACACACACACACACACACACACACACACACACACACACACACACACACACACACACACACACACACACACACACACACACACACACACACACACACACACACACACACACACACACACACACACACACACACACACACACACACACACACACACACAGCATCAGTAGACAATAGATGAGGTTTAAGGAAGCTTTCCATGGCGTCACAGGTTACTGTGGAGACCAGACGAATGAGTGTGAGGGGGCAGGAGGAGGATGTGTTGTCAGTGTTTCACATATCAGACCTGCCAGAGTAGAAGGTCACAGACACACACACACATACGCACACGCACGTAGGATATTTTTGATTTCATACAGCTGTACATAGTGTTATAAAACGAGTAAAGAAACAGGGGAACAATTAGAGCAAGGAAGGCATGTACAAAGAAGAAGTAGAAACAAAGGAGATGACAGTTAGTTAAAGGCCCTTGCTTCTCTTAAAACCTCGTGGGGATAACCAGAGTTTTGGTGCAGAGTTAAAATAGGCAAGATTATCGAGAGGGACTATTTAACTGTAGAACGGAGGAGGGTTAAAGAGAGCTATGAATGTGATGTATTTCAGTAATCACCAAAGCTCTGCTCTATCCATGAAAGGTCTCACTGTAGAGCTGCAAACAAAGAGCGTCTCAGCTAATTATAGACAGCCTCCCAGCACCTGAGCCTAATCAGTGACTGATCAATACATCCTGCATGTCTCCTCTCTGCGTTGTGCAATGCAGGCTGGCAGGAGGAGGATTGATCTGAGGAGGAAAGTGTAATTGTGTAGAAGTCTGTGAGAAAACGACCCGACAGTAAACATTACCCTGGAGATTGTGCAGGTCTAATTCTCTAGTTGCAAATCTTCTTCAATACAGCATGATGTCATTTTGAATATTACACAGCTGAGTTGAATTCTTGATTCTGATTGGTCCACCTGGGCATTCCATAGGTTGTTATTTCTCGCTAACACACCGTTGCTAAGGAGCACAAAAAGGCCGCCTTTCTCCACATGATTCCTTACGTACGTAACATGGCGATAAATCAGCGTATTATTTCAGCCCACCTGACATTGATATTGACAGGTCGAGTGTTGTCGGTGTTTTTGTCTTATAGTATAACTTTACACCTTTTACAGTTTTCAGTTCATGGAAGTTAAACTAGTCCACTAACAAAGTCTTGATCTGTATGCACCCGTGTCCTCTTCTGTCTCTTTGCACTCATATAAGACCAAATGTATTTGTATACGATGTGAAGGAAGGTGAGTTTTACCTCCCAGTGGTTTAAACTGAATTCATTCCATCACTGCTGCCAATCATTGCATTAAGAACAGAGCTGTACTGTTTCTATGGGATGTTTCTCATGATGGAGTGGTGCTGACAGCCTCTCACACACACACACACACACACACACACACACACACACACACACACACACACACACACACAACACACACACACACACACACACACACACACACACACACACACACACACACACACACACACACACCACACCACACACACACACCACACACACACACACACACACACACACACACACACACACACCACAGATGGCCCTGGTAACGGATCCCATTATCACGTTGAGCAGGTTTTTACGAGCTGTTAACGGACGTCAAACACAGGAGCTGCTAAAGGGAAGTGATGCTACAGGACAACACATTTAGAAAACAGTTTATGTACGTTTTGGCTTTTGGGTTAATGTTTGGAGTTGGCTAGTTGTGGCAAATCTGCACATAATGACTAAGATGAGGGAGTAGGGAAACATAATGAACAAAGAGACCATCTAATGGAGCCTGATGCAAACTCTTAGAGACAAACTGGGGTGAGTTTAGAGATTCTGAAAACCTGGATTATTTCTGCAAGTCGGTGCAGAACCTAATTTATCAGAATCAGAATCCCTTTATTATTAGGTTTCTGAAATGAAGAGCATACCTCAACAAAAGGAGCAAGTAGCTGAAGACTCAAAGCCAGTTTGTATCCTGTTTTCAGATCGCTTATCTGCAGGATTAATATTCAAATGTGCTTACTTTCCCTTATATTACAAGATAGGGCATGTGTGCTGCATGTGTGCTGCATGTGTGCTGCATGTGTGCTGCATGTGTGCTGCATGTGTGCTGCATGTGTGCTGCATGTGTGCTGCATGTGTGCTGCATGTGTTCTGCATGTGTGCTGCATGTGTGCTGCATGTGTGCTGCATGTGTTCTGCATGTGTGCTGCATGTGTGAATAGTCTGAAAAATCTGTGGAAAATTCACATAAAGTTGGAATAACAATCTGAAAAGTCTGCAAAAAGATATGTGCACATGTTAGCTCGCAGGATGTCCTTTGTCACCAAGCACATACTGGGAAGACTCCTAAACGCCTCATAGCTCAGAGGTCACCGTTTTTGGGTGGAAAAGATCTCCCTTCATCTCCACGTCTTTATTTCTTCTTCCAGCTACAACCTCTTCAGGACGGTCTGTACGTTTTTCTATACATGCAGGACCACTCATCTCATCTTTCTGAATAATTGATGAGATTACAGCATGAGATCAGGCTTCAGGCGGAGAAGGGACCGAACAGGGCGTCCCCTTTAAAAAGAGTCCATGTTTGTTCTGCTAACAGTTCACCGTCTTTGTGTTTCGAAAAGACAAAAGTGGAACAGCCGAATCAATACTGCGACCAAGTCTCTGTGATTTGCAGCTTTTTGAAACGTCACATATATAATAATGAAGCGTCTGTCCTACCTCAGCGATCCGGAGGATGGAGTCTCCGTTGATATCAAAGTTTGGGGAGTAGGTGATACACAGCAGCACCTGCACACAGGACACACACACACACACACACACACACACACACACACACACACACACACACACGTTCCTATTGTTATTTAGAAAAACAGGGAGATGTATTTAACAGATCAAAAGGGACTTCAATTGATGCAACATAGTCTTAAGAATATAACATATTTATGAACTAAGATCAGGATTGTCAAGGATTTAGAATACTAAAAATATAAATAACACACACCTCGTTAATCACGTATTAATAGAAGTTATACCTTCATGACTTCCACCTGCAGGTCTTCATGGAGGGAGGGAGTGACTCTGATGGCCTCCAACATCTGGCTGAGCAGCTGCTTCTCCACGACCTCCACCTCCACACCGCCCCCCCCCACAAACCTGTCCTCACACAGGAGCTTCTGATTGGACGAAAGACACAGAGAAAAGATTATGATACGATGATAATATGATACTTACACGTTTAGTTCAGCGGGATAATCTCCACATATCAACACCACTTTATGATTTATCAAGTAAAAAGCTAATGTTGAACTATAAAGGAACTACAGCACGGTCACATGACTTCACGTCACCACCGCTAAGCTAAAGGTGGCTAATGTTGGGCTATAAAGGAACTACAGCACGGTCACATGACTTCACGTCACCACCGCTAAGCTAAAGGAGGCTAATGTTGTGCTATAAAGGAACTACAGCACGGTCACATGACTTCACGTCACCACCGCTAAGCTAAAGGAGGCTAATGTTGTGCTATAAAGGAACTACAGCACGGTCACATGACTTCACGTCACCACCGCTAAGCTAAAGGAGGCTAATGTTGAACTATAAAGGAACTACAGCACGGTCACATGACTTCACGTTACCACCGCTAAGCTAAAGGAGGCTAATGTTGTGCTATAAAGGAACTACAGCACGGTCACATGACTTCACGTCACCACCGCTAAGCTAAAGGAGGCTAATGTTGTGCTATAAAGGAACTACAGCACGGTCACATGACCTCACGTCACCACCGCTAAGCTAAAGGTGGCTAATGTTGGGATATAAAGGAACTACAGCACGGTCACATGACTTCACGTTACCACCGCTAAGCTAAAGGTGGCTAATGTTGGGATATAAAGGAACTACAGCACGGTCACATGACTTCACGTCACCACCGCTAAGCTAAAGGAGGCTAATGTTGGGCTATAAAGGAACTACAGCACGGTCACATGACTTCACGTCACCACCGCTAAGCTAAAGGAGGCTAATGTTGGGCTATAAAGGAACTACAACACGGTCATATGACTTCACGTCACCACCGCTAAGCTAAAGGAGGCTAATGTTGGGCTATAAAGGAACAACAGCACGGTCACATGACCTCACGTTACCACCGCTAAGCTAAAGGAGGCTAATGTTGGGCTATAAAGGAACTACAACACGGTCATATGACTTCACGTCACCACCGCTAAGCTAAAGGAGGCTAATGTTGGGCTATAAAGGAACGACAGCACGGTCACATGACCTCACGTTACCACCGCTAAGCTAAAGGAGGCTAATGTTGGGCTATAAAGGAACGACAGCACGGTCACATGACTTCACGTCACCACCGCTAAGCTAAAGGAGGCTAATGTTGGGCTATAAAGGAACTACAGCACGGTCACATGACTTCACGTCACCACTGCTAAGCTAAAGGCGGCTAATGTTGGGCTATAAAGGAACTACAGCACGTCACATGACTTCACGTCACCACCGCTAAGCTAAAGGAGGCTAATGTTGGGCTATAAAGGAACTACAACACGGTCATATGACTTCACGTCACCACCGCTAAGCTAAAGGAGGCTAATGTTGGGCTATAAAGGAACGACAGCACGGTCACATGACCTCACGTTACCACCGCTAAGCTAAAGAAGGCTAATGTTGGGCTATAAAGGAACTACAACACGGTCATATGACTTCACGTCACCACCGCTAAGCTAAAGGAGGCTAATGTTGGGCTATAAAGGAACGACAGCACAGTCACATGACTTCACGTTACCACCGCTAAGCTAAAGGTGGCTAATGTTGGGCTATAAAGGAACGACAGCACGGTCACATGACTTCACGTTACCACCGCTAAGCTAAAGGTGGCTAATGTTGGGCTATAAAGGAACTACAGCACGGTCACATGACTTCACGTCACCACCGCTAAGCTAAAGGAGGCTAATGAGAAATATTTGTCATAGTGTTGCTGTATTTGACAGTACCTGCATCCCAGTGAGTGCTGTTTGTCCCAATTTGGTGTTTTTAGACTCCAGAGCCATCTGTAGAGGCAGCAGGCAGCGCTCTCTGGAAACAAAAACACACACACAGACACACACAAGTTACAACAATTCAGTCAACATGATTGCTACTAGTACAATGACTATGGTATTGAGAGAGTGTTGTAGTAAAATATAGTGGGTTATTTCTTGGCCCATACTTCACCCTTCCCCAAGTTTCGGGGGAAAAGACAGAAAGACAGACTGAATGGAAAATCCAAGCTCATTGACGTAGTTAAACATAATTTGAGGATAATACAGAACCCAGCAACTGTTTGTGACTTGTCTTTTTTCCACTCTTTGTCTCGTTTTGCTTCCCACCATCGCGCTCTATCTTTCTCCCTCTCATTCTTCCCAGCAGGTTACCGATGATCTCCGGCCACTGAGCTTCAATCTCTGAGCTTTACTTCTACAGCTTCTACAACTAAGGTCAACTGACAGTAAATCAACCAGACTTATTTCTGTGGATTGATATGACTGCACATAGTTCATTGATCAGACTGTCATATTTTACTATCCCTAGTAACAGTCTGCTATCCTTAGCAACAGTCTACTATCCAGCAACAGTATACTATCCTTAACAACAGTCTGCTATCATTAGTCTACTATCCTTAGCAACAGTCTACTATCCTTAGTCTACTATCCTTAGCAACAGTCTACTATCCTTAGCAACAGTCTAATAACCTTAGCAACAGTCTACTACCCTTAACAACAGTCTACTATCCTTAGTCTACTATCCTCAGCAACAGTCTACTATCCTTAGTCTACTATCCTTAGCAACAGTCTACTATCTTTAGTCTACTATCCTCAGCAACAGTCTACTATCCTCAGCAACAGTCTACTATCCTTATCAACGGTCTGCTAGGGAAAAATAGCAGACCTCCAGTATGTCCAAATAGACCAATCAGAATCGAGTATTCAATAAAGTTGTGTCATATTCAGGATGAGAATCTCAAAGTCAACAGCAGAAGAAAAACGACTTAAAAATGCAATGCTTTTGAATTATTTACCATAGAACGAATACAAAAGCATTTATTCCCAAAAGGTTTTGTATTTAATCGTTCAAAGCTATCATTATTCTGTCAATCAGAATAATCCCGCTTTGTTCCCACAGTTTGTGAAAGTGGCTGAGAAACCATTTTGTAATGAGAGTCTTTTGTTGCAGAGACAGAGGCGGACATAACGGAGCCATTATCATCAATATTTAATTTAATAATCCCTAATAAAACAACAGATGTTATTGAATAAATGATTCATAGTGGCTCCTCCATCACCATCCAAGCATTGCTCTCGGTTCACTTCATTAATTTACTTTTTTTTAAACCAGAACACTTGAAGAACGCTTCAATGCCCATGAGCAAGAGTATTTCCATGGCAACACAAATCCAAAAATATTCCTGTGGAAATCAGCAGGAGAGGACTCTTTAAAGTAGAGACACTACATACTGATATACACCTGAACATCAGCAGGAGAGGACTCTTTAAAGTAGAGACACTACATACTGATATACACCTGAACATCAGCAGGAGAGGACTCTTTAAAGTAGAGACACTACATACTGATATACACCTGAACATCAGCAGGAGAGGACTCTTTAAAGTAGAGACACTACATACTGATATACACCTGAGCATCAGCAGGAGAGGACTCTTTAAAGTAGAGACACTACATACTGATATAAACCTGAACATCAGCAGGAGAGGACTCTTTAAAGTAGAGACACTACATACTGATATACACCTGAACATCAGCAGGAGAGGACTCTTTAAAGTAGAGACACTACATACTGATATACACCTGAACATCAGCAGGAGAGGACTCTTTAAAGTAGAGACACTGCATATTGATATACACCTGGACATCAGCAGGAGAGGACTCTTTAAAGTAGAGACACTACATACTGATATAAACCTGAACATCAGCAGGAGAGGACTCTTTAAAGTAGAGACACTACATACTGATATACACCTGAACATCAGCAGGAGAGGACTCTTTAAAGTAGAGACACTACATACTGATATACACCTGAACATCAGCAGGAGAGGACTCTTTAAAGTAGAGACACTATATACTGATATTCACCTGAACATCAGCAGGAGAGGACTCTTTAAAGTAGAGACACTACATACTAATATACACCTGGACATCAGCAGGAGAGGACTCTTTAAAGTAGAGACAGATATACACCTGGACATCAGCAGGAGAGGACTCTTTAAAGTAGAGACACTACATACTGATATACACCTGAACATCAGCAGGAGAGGACTCTTTAAAGTAGAGACACTACATACTGATATACACCTGAACATCAGCAGGAGAGGACTCTTTAAAGTAGAGACACTACATACTGATATACACCTGAACATCAGCAGGAGAGGACTCTTTAAAGTAGAGACACTACATACTGATATACACCTGAACATCAGCAGGAGAGGACTCTTTAAAGTAGAGACACTACATACTGATATACACCTGAACATCAGCAGGAGAGGACTCTTTAAAGTAGAGACACTACATACTGATATACAGCTGAACATCAGCATGAGAGGACTCTTTAAAGTAGATACACTACGTACTGATATACACCTGAACATCAGCAGGAGAGGACTCTTTAAAGTAGAGACACTACATACTGATATACACCTGAACATCAGCAGGAGAGGACTCTTTAAAGTAGAGACACTACATACTGATATACACCTGAACATCAGCAGGAGAGGACTCTTTAAAGTAGAGACACTACATATTGATATACACCTGAACATCAGCAGGAGAGGACTCTTTAAAGTAGAGACACTGCATACTGATATACACCTGAACATCAGCAGGAGAGGACTCTTTAAAGTAGAGACACTGCATACTGATATACACCTGAACATCAGCAGGAGAGGACTCTTTAAAGTAGAGACACTACATACTGATATACACCTGAACATCATCAGAATATGTATTTTTTAAGATGTCACTTAAAAAAAGTGTTTAAAACTTCAGAAAAGTTAATGTTTCTTAAAGTCTTGCTGATAGATGTTACCGTAAACGGCTCTTTTAGTTTACATGTATTCTCTAGCAGTTACGGTGTTTGGACTGAGCGATGTTTAACACTAATGACTACTGCTGTCGTAAAGAGACAGAAGCATTACCTGAGCTTAAAGTATTTGCATTATCATCCCAGGAATGATTCGATCATTCATTCAAATTAATTCAAATCATACAGCGAGTGTAAAACACACGTTTGCATGAATGAACAGTTTGCCTCTCAATATTCAGCTCTGTGTTCCCCGCAGTGAAGCTGGAAGCTGCACCACTTAAATCAAGCGTTTCATGGTCGAACAAACCGTCTTCCACACATGATCAACAGCTCTTAATATGTATGTTCTGTTCGGCATGTCTTGATGTCCAAACTTTGAATTGAAGTGAGCTAAATTGAGCTGAAAAGAAGCAGAATTTGTGGCGTCTAACTTACCGAAGCTGTGACGGGGAAATCTTGGATGATCCATTCTGACACTCCAGGGTTTCTGCGGTGTTAAAAAGCACAAAGAAAAGGAAACGCTGTGATTAAAAACGTGCGACAGATTCAAGCTCGAACACTTTTAATTAAAGCAAAAAGAAAACAGCTAAATATTCCGTTTGTTGAACTACGTAAAGACATCTGGTTTCTCACACAAAAGCAAAAGTCAACAGTACGGGAGAGGATTAGGGGGAAAAGTCAGAACATTACATTACATGTTACTTTTATCCAAAGCGACTTAAATACTCAATACTGTGGGCAATTGGGGTGAAGGGACACAACGACATGCTGACTGCAGTGGGACTTGAACCTGTGACCCCCTGATCCGAACACCAACGCTCAACCCACTGCACCACACGCCTCCCCGTGCAAAGTATTGTACTCAGAATTCGGACTTTTCTCCTGATTTTCTTCCAGTTCTGACTTTTTCAGAATTCTTCAGATTTTTTTTCTAGAAATGACTTTTTTCTTAAAATGTATTATTTTTTTCGTTGATTCTGGATTTTTTCCTCAAAATTCATAAATGTTACGTTAAAATGTAGATTTCCTTTCTTCGAATTCAGATTTCAAATGTGTTATACGGACTACGGCTGTTGTCTTAAAATTGTTTTATTCTTTCTTTGAATTCTGGATTTCTTTCCCAAAACCATAAATGTTTTCTTCATATTTCTATTTTCTCTCAGAATTCGGACTTCCATCTCAAAACTAATAAAGAAAATTCACTTGTGGTTGGATGTCAAAACATTTTCCACATGTGACCCTAATCCTCTTTCATACAACGGCATCTTTTGACCATTAAAGCATGGAGGCATGTCCCAGAGCGGCTAAATACTGATATGAACCTGAAAGCCTTTGGAAAGCCATATTAGAAGCATGACTAGAAAGCTGAAATATAACATTTTCAAATGTAAACATATTAGGAACTCATTAACCATAGAAGCATCGAAAACCTTTTTGCATGCCATGATACTATCACATGTTCACGACTGTATAACCTGCTGGTCCCAAGCAACTAAGACCGCTATGAGACCACTTGAGGTTCTTTACAAACAAGCCTTAAAAGTTATGGATAGAAAGTCATTAAAACACCATCATTGCAATATACTGTCCAGATTCCATCTTCTCCTCCCTCCTGGACCCCCCCAAAGCCCCTCCCCCCTCCTCCCTTCTGTCAAGCGACTTTGTTAACCACTTTGAAAAAAAGGTTGATGATATTCGCTCTTCTTTTTCCGACTCACCTTTACTCACCGCTGGGTCACCAGACCTTCCTTCCACCAACACACTGACCTCCTTTTCCCCTCTCTCTCCAAGTGAGGTTCTTACCCTCATTACCTCTGCCCGCCCTACCACCTGTCCTCTGGACCCTATCCCTTCAAACCTCCTTCAGACTATCGCTCCTGATATTCTACCGTTTCTCACCCATTTCATCAACACTTCTCTAACTTCTGGTCACTTTCCAACAGTCTCAAGGAGGCAAGAGTAAACCCTCTCCTAAAGAAACCCACTCTCAACCCGTCTGATGTTATAAACTACAGGCCTGTCTCTCTCCTCCCGTTCCTGTCTAAATCACTTGAACGCGCCGTCTTTAAACAACTCTCCTGTTATCTCCATCAGAACAACCTTCTGGATCCGCACCAGTCTGGTTTCAAGGCAGGTCACTCCACAGAAACTGCTCTCATTGCTGTCACTGAGGAACTGCACACGGCTAAAGCAGCCTCCCTCTCCTCTGTCATCATCCTGTTGGACCTGTCTGCTGCATTCGACACGGTGAATCATCAGATCCTCTTTCGCACTCTCCAAGAACTTGGAGTTTCAGGCTCTGCACTTTCCCTCCTCACCTCATACCTGAAAGACCGTACCTACAGGGTGACTTGGAGAGGGTCTGAGTCCGACCCTTGTCAATTAACTACAGGGGTCCCTCAGGGCTCTGTTCTTGGTCCCCTCCTCTTCTCCCTGTACACAAACTCGCTCGGATCAGTCATTAGCCCGCATGGTTTTTCTTACCACTGCTACGCTGACGACACCCAATTAATTCTGTCCTTTCCCCGCTCAGAGACCCAGGTCGTCGCACGCATCTCTGCTTGTCTAGCTGACATCTCTCAGTGGATGTCTGCTCATCACCTCAAGCTCAACCTTGACAAGACTGAGCTGCTCTTCCTCCCGGGAAAAGATTGTCCCACTCTTGACCTAACAATCAACATCGGCACCTCAGTTGTTTCCCCGACTCAAGACTGCAAGGAATCTGGGTGTGACCCTAGATAACAACCTTTCCTTCACTGCAAACATCGCTGCTACAACCCGCTGCTGCAGATACACGCTTTACAACATCAGGAGGATACGTCCCCAGCTGACCCAGAAAGCGACTCAGGTTCTGGTCCAGGCTCTCGTCATCTCACGCCTAGACTACTGCAACTCCCTCCTGGCTGGTCTACCTGCATGTGCCATCCGACCTCTGCAGCTCATCCAGAATGCAGTGGCTCGTCTGGTCTTCAACCTTCCTAAATTCTCCCACACCACTCCGCTCCTCCGCTCCCTTCACTGGCTTCCGGTAACTGCTAGAATCCACTTCAAGACACTGGTACTTGCTTACCGTGCTGCGAATGGATCTGGCCCTTCCTACATCCAGGACATGGTTAAACCGTACACCCCAGCGCGTGCACTACGCTCTGCATCAGCCAAACGACTCGCTGCACCCTCGCTGCGAGGGGGACCCAAGTTCCCATCAGCAAAAACACGTGGGTTTAATATCCTGGCTCCAAGATGGTGGAATGAGCTCCCCATTGACATCAGGACAGCAGATAGCTTACACATCTTCCAGACTGAAAACTCATCTCTTTCGACTCCACTTCGAGCGATAGAACTATTAACAAAGCACTTATATACTAATAAAGGACTGACTTACCTAAAGCCAGTTGAGTAGCACTTGAAATGTTTGGCTCTATGAAACCTGATGTACTTTATGATTCTGTTTTCTTCAAGTTTGTATTTTGTTGGTCGAACGCACTTATTGTAAGTCGCTTTGGATAAAAGCGTCAGCTAAATGTAATGTAATGTAAAAATACAAACTGTTCAGTTTTGATAGTCTTGTTCTACTTTCCCGAGTTCGACTGGTATTCAGAATCATCACAATTCTACAACACCACCGCTGAGGAGCTTTTTTCAGCTTCGCCGTGAGCAGAGTTGCAGAAACTCCAGATCTGCATCAAATGCAGATCTAACCTCCCTCTGAGGCGCACTGCCTTTGGACCATCAGCATTTTTGTTTACGGCCATCAAGCACTGGAACACTCTTCCAGCTGAACTTAAAACCTGAACTGATTTTAACTTGTTTTCTTATGGTGCAAAATAAATGATATTAAGCAACCAGTCATGCCAACATGAATTACACTGTAATCTGAGTTGTTTTTATTTGAACTGTATTGTCATACTATATCTTAGATAAGATTATTTAAGGGTATTTGAAGTGTACTAAGTATTATGTTCGTAACCTGAATTTAAATCAGGCTTTGTAATTATTTGAGTGACCGAGATCATGTAAGTGTATTTCAAGTGTACTATGTATTAATTTATTGAGCTGTAGTTAAATCAGGTTTTAAAATGGTTTGACTGAAAGAGATCATGCAATGTTATTATGTGTTTATTGATTGTTATGAACCTGCCTGAGGACCACAGATGGAAATGAGCTATTAGCTATAATCTGGCATCTCTTCTCTTTACTGAGATTAATGTTTGTGTATGCATGGTCCTTCTATAAATAAATACAAATACAAAGTGAGCAGGACATGTCCTCAGACGTCCTTGTCAAAGTAACCCTGTGCAGCGCCAAAAGAGAACAGTATTTGGTGCTGGAATAACCTCACATCATGTGTTTCAGGGACATTTTGTTTCGACCTGGCTCAATACTTTCACCTTTTAAAGAACACATACTGCCGTCTTTCCTCGTTGAAATGTGAGCCTTGCTGACAAAACACTGCATCCTGTTACTCTGCACAGGCTGACATGATGCATACGTGCTTCAAGGTTTAGTGTACACTGGCATTGCCCTTGCAGTGTGTGTGTGTGTGTGTGTGTGTGTGTGTGTGTGTGTGTGTGTGTGTGTGTGTGTGTGTATTGGGGGATGTGTGTGTGTTTGTATGTATTGGGGGATGTGTGTGTGTGTGTGTGTGTGTTTAAGGTGGGACGTTCGGCCTCCTTCACATCCAGAGAACTGTAACTCTTGTAATTTCATTGGCTGATGAAATCCATTTGAGTCGATCCTGTGTTTTAAGATGTCACAATCAACACTCCAATGTATACACACACACACCTTGTGTGTGTAGGCAGGCTAATGCCCTTTGTTCATGCCCAATGAGGTTGCCTTGCAGTGTGTGTGTGTGTGTGTGTGTGTGTGTGTGTGTGTGTGTGTGTGTGTGTGTGTGTGTGTGTGTGTGTGTGTGCGTGCGTCAGGTTGGACATCAGCACATTGTGAGACGTTCTCTACCTGCTGCCTCAGAGTTCCACCTGCCAGCTAAAGGTCAGGCTGCTCCGTCATGCTGTCACACTCACAATCTCCCACAGACGTCAGCGGGAACAGATTTGTTTTCCACATGTTTAAACGATTTAATGTTGTGTGTTGTGAAGCAGTTTCAGAGGCTGAGGAGGGAACAGAGCAGCATAAGAGACTTTAAACGAATTTCTAAATATGAAAACTGCCTTTTTTGTGAATGCCAGATAGTTGATGTTATTAGAGTTCGAACAACCCTTTCTACAAACATGTCGGCTAAGAGAGGATTTATAACTTATTTGATTATATTCCTGTTTTATTTTATTATTTCTATTCTTAGATTCATGTGTTATTGTGTATTGAGTCCTGTGTTAGTCGTATTAATCCCAAAGGTCCTCTGTTTATTACCTGGGAATGGGGGGGTTAGTTTTATTGTTTTTATTTGAGTTGATTTGATTCTGAGTCAGCATTAATGCCGAGTCAGTACCGACGATTGATGCTTTTGTTCTTCTTATTCCTCCCTATGTTTCTACTGTAACACTGGGGGAAAGATACAAGACCGACCGCCTCGTGTTCTCCATGAAGCATCATCTATACAAATATATTAAAGCAGAGTTTAAGAGAGTAAGATTAATCGATTACTTGTCAACAACTACATTCACAGACAAGTGAAAATCTGCTTTTCTGTTTGTTTACCAAGGAAAACAAAGTCATTATCTGATTTCCAGCTTCTTGAAAGTGGATATTTTCTGGTGTCTGGTTTCCCTTACTCTCTCTATGACAGTAAACTCAATATAATGACTTCATGTGAGGACTTCCTGTTGACCTTTCTGAGCGGGACACAGCTGTTATCACACACAAAGTCCTCATCAGAGATATTCCTGAACTGATGTGCAGCTCAGCGGTGTGTCGTGATCTTACTGATCTGCACTTCATATTTAAGTTTCTATAGTCATGGTATGGATTTGCCACAGCAGACTATGCCTTTGAATCCTACTCAAGTTCACAACAAATATTTACTCCAAGCTCTAAAACTGCCTTAATCGTGTTGTTGTCCATTAAAACATGATTACATGTCCTAAGTAAAAAGGGACATTCAAGCAAACTAGCAAATTCAAAGCAAGTTAAAAGCAACATTTAACCAGGAAATTAGGAAATGCACGAGCATTTTAGATGAAATGCATGTCTTTGAGGTTGTCTAGGCAACACTACAGGTAAAGGAAGTATATTCGGTCTCAATTATAGCATACAAAGACAAGGCACATTAGAGAAATGCAAAGACTAGAAATAAACAATCCAAAATGTAAACATAGAAAATATACATGTTTAAATACAAATGTACAATAACACAAATATAAAGCAGGATATTATACATTAAGTGTGGGAGGAATGGAATATGAAATAT